CGAAAGAGAGCTTCAAAACAGACTGCAGCGCCATCTGAAGCAAAGAGCATACTTCCTGCGGACACTTTTTTGGCTGAGTGGCCCATCTTGTTATTTACTATCTTTGATAGCGGTGGCACTGTCTTATATTTTTATAAATACTACAGCACACCCACTACGCAAACGACAGAAGGTGATTGTATACTCTCTTTCTCTCCTCAGCGTTGGTGCCACTGTGCGCGATAAATGGGACAGCCAACGCCTGTGATATCCTCACCATCATAAAGGGACAGCTCAACATCGGAAATAAGACTGCGAATACAACTGCAACGACCAGTAGGTTCTTTCAAATTTGTGGATAAAGAATAATCATATATAAAATAAAATGTGTCACGACGCGGTGGAATCGGTTTTTTTTTTTTTTTTTTTTTTTGGTGGGGTTTTTTTTTTTTACTCATAGAGTTATTGGTACCATCTTAAAACTTATTTTTTCGTTTATCTTAATTTTGATGAAAAAATTACCGAACTATCTTAAATAGAAGTGAATATATTGGCGAATACAGTAGGCGGGGTTGCCTTGTTTTAGAGATCAATTTAGCAACGAAAAATGGTCTCCAAAGCTTCGTGACATTGAAAGCTTGGGTATCCTTTGAAACTGCAAATTTACGTTTAGTGTGTTTTTGCTTGTCGTTTTACTTTGAAAAGTACACAGAAATGTGTTTTCGAATGAACATACATGTGTTAAGACAAAGAACGAAACATTAATTTTAAAAATTGCCGAAAAAGCGAGAACAACTGCTAATTTCTTTGATTTCATTAATTTGACGAGCGCCTGATTTCACCATGATGCCTGATAAAAACTATTTAATTGATATTTGATGAGAAACTTGGTTTACAGTGGTATACATACAAACAATTGAACGTAAACGCATTGTGTATATTGAAAAGTTGCATGCACTGATTGCATCGACTTTACATAATACACATTTACCACAACCAGCCGGGGGGGTTTTGGGGTTGTTGTTGTTGTTTTTTGGGGGGAGGCACGTTACACGAACCCATGTGGGTATGGATACCCGTCATGCACGATATGCTTCCCAGGAAGTTGAGATTGACCCAGAATGTCATCAGCCGGCCTTCTGGGGTAATAATATAGATTGTAGAGTACATAGATCTTGCTGTTGGGCGGAGAATTGGGCCTACTAATGCTATCAACCCCCATTCCGGTCTTTCCCCTCCTCCTCCCCCTTCCTCCTTCACCCTCCATTCATCTTTTCCATTCACATTATTTATCCCCACTCCTCTATCCCTTCCTCTTCCATTCACCTGCTCCTTCCCCCTTCTGTTTCCCCCTCTCCCCTTGTCAACTGACCTTCCCCATTTACTTCCTCCTTTCCCTCTCCTCCCTCCTTCCTCTCTCCTCTATTCACCCTCCCCTTGTCTCCTCTTTTCTATCTCCCTTCTCCTCTTCCATTCACTTCCTCCTTTCCTCTCCTCCTCTTTGCATGTGGTTGGAGAGCACCACTGACAGATTCTACTTACTCTTCTTTACATCTGTTGCTTATGTCTTGCCTCTTCCATCCACTAAACGACCTTTATTGTGTCAATGTGCGCCTCTTTACTCAAACCCCGCTCCCCTTTCATCTATTGACCTCCCTCATTGACTTCCTCCCTCCACCTCCTCTCTCCCCTCCCTCTTCCTCTTTTCACCTCCTCCCTCCCCCACCTCACCATCCATTCACCATTTCCTTCCCTCTCCTCTCTCCCTCTCTCCTATTTGCCAATCTCCTCCTCTCTCACCCTTTTCTCTTCCCCTCCCTCTCATCCATTCACTCCCTCCCACCTTCCCCTCTTTTCCCCAACTCCTGCCTTCCAGGTTATACCTTCCCTGTTTCGTTCATTTTCATCTATTCTATTTCTGTTCTTACTTCCTCCTCCCTTTGCAACGTCATCAGTAACCTTTTTCCTCTTTCTATTCACAATGTCTCTGTCATTTGTTTCTTCTCTTCCTTCCTGTTCTCAATATTGTTCATTCTTACTTCCCATACTCTACTCAGCTTATTTTTGTGTTCTTTATCTCCTTTACTATTTTGGCAAACCCAGGCAGCGACACTACCATTTTACCCGAAAACCAGACCTCCCCTTTCCCGAACACGTCCAGTCCCCATATCAAGCCCACTGCACCGGCCACGCCCACTCCAAGCACCACCCACATACCGTGTCCAGGCAGCGGGCCAGGAGTGTACGCCCACCCAGTCTCCAAAACCAGCTACGTGGCGTGCGCGGAGGATGGTTCAGTCTATGTCTTCCAGTGCCCGGCGGGCTTGTCCTTCACTGTGAAGGAACGAAGGTGCTCCACCCCGGTACGTTACAGAAACGTTACATGTACGTTACACGATCCAACTGTAACATACCCCACGCTGGTACATTCACATCCGTTGCGTGCCCCACGCTTTACATACAACACGCCGATACATGCATGTACTGGCGCTCATATCATGACCTTATGCAGTTGCGAGCGCCGTAAAATCTTACTAAAAACTAAAACTAACTAAATATTCATTAACGTCACACGCTTCACGCTTTACATACTGCACGCCGTTACATTACATGTACGTTAAATGCACCACTCTTTATACGTGTATTTTACACCGGCATGTTACGTATGTTAGTTGTTCAACATGTTACATACTTCACCCAGATACGCTATGTATTTCAGTAATGTACTCGTACCTTAGAGGTATGTTACACACTCCACGGCCACTCGTTGCATACTTCACGTCGGAATGTGTTCCACTCCTGTACGTTACAAGTAAGTAACATACTCTACACATTACACATTACACATTACAAGTTCCACGCCCGCTGGTATGCTATGTGTGCCAAGCCGACATGGCACGTGTTCCAGCCCTGTACTCTGCTTGTACGTTACTCATATTATAATGTTCAGGACGTACCAGGCTTGAAAAAACGGATAAGTATTACTGCTCTCAGTAATGTTGTCTGTAAAGGGTAGGGGTTGGTTTGTTTGTTTGTCCTGTTTGTCCGTCTGTTTTTGGGTGGAAATGATTTTTTGTTGGGTGGGGGGGGGGGGGGGGAGCAAATAAAAAACCCTCAAGTGGAGTATGAATATGCAATATTCTTATTAGCTTGGGATTCTACCCAGACTGCAGTGAAGCATAACATCATCTGGCGAAACGGCGCGCAAACATAACCTACTGGCCAAACGTCATAGTGTGCTGTCACTGTTCATGAACATTATATGTTTTTTGAGGTTGGTATGGACAGAAACACACCCCTAACCCACCATTTTCATTAGGCCATGAACCCTATAGACAGAGTTGGTTGATTTAGATATGAGCA